GTATTATTTAAATTCAATTTCGTAATAAACAAACTTTGACAAGACCTCTCGCCACGCCATCTGGTGAGCGAAAAAACGGTAGCCCTCATTGATTGTTAGAGGACGTTCAGAATATTGTCAGATGAGCGTTAAACGCCAGTAACATGTTTTGTATGGGAGCGATTAAACTAGTCCCGTTTAATTAAACTAGTCAAGCAAAAGTTAAGAAAATTAAATACCTACAAAACCGTGGCACAACGCGGTACTGGCCAAACGTAAGTGGCGCTTTATTCTCTTCGTGTCTGATACCAGACCAGAAAAGTGAGACCTGGATTTTTTAGATTATAATTATCAAAATAAATCATAATTATTCATAATAAATTATGACTAATTTTCGAATTGACAAAGTAATGTAAACAAATGCTGTAATCTCTCGAGTTGATAAGTGAATTTATAATTTTACGAAGTATAACATTATTATTTTGTTTATTAGGAAAATCTACCTAAACAAATAACTGAGAAATTTTACAATAATCGCAATGTTATGCGAATAATTAATTAAATATATTTTTAAAAATATAATTTGCGCGTTACTCCGTCATCATGCATACAAGGAAACAATATTTTATCAAATATCATCATACATTGACCAATATATTATATTATACCAATATATTCCAAATGTATTATTAACTCATCCAAATATGTCGTGGCAATTCTTAAAAAGACGGAATAATGACGCATTTTACGTTCCATCTATTTGTTTAACATATAATTTAAATTCAGAGTAGAGAATACAGAAAAGAGGTTATGCCTACGTGTTTCCGATTATGACCTCTCATCAAGAAGGTATGAACTGGTAAATTGACAGTGACAACATTAGATATCAAGGCTCGGTGGGACATAACAGTGATTAGTATATGGGAAAGGTTTCGAACGGAAAAGTATCAAACCAATATATCTAATTTATGTACGAACGGTCATTCTCCTTCATTCTTTAAATTTGACTTTAAATAGTGTTGAAACGAATGAAATTTATATGTTCTAGTCGTTAATTATCGTGATGTTCCTGGAACAAGTTGTGACGTTCATAATAATTATCTGTATACTTGTTGTTATAAAACTAACTTCATCAGATAAAATGTCGGTTAATAGTAAACTGTGTCCTTCGATTTATAAGTTAATGGTTCTGTGTAGCAGTGTAACTATTAAAAATCGTGATATCGAATATAATTTTAGTTAATACACGGATCACTCTGACTTTCATCTGTAAAATTGAGGAAGTTGATGGTCTGATACCTTTAGGTGATTATGGCCTAGCACTCGTTCACTCGCATTTCAAGAACTAGTCAAAAATCGTACAGTGGAAAATAAGATACCTATAACTAAAGCGCCTCACTGAGGTACCCGCGCGGAAGGCTGAATTCCCAAGCGCGACAAATGTCGACCAATCAGAATGCTTCAAGTTTCACGCCATCGGGCGATCCACCACTATCCACGCGCCTGACCCTCACTGAGCATAAGTGCGGCGAACACCTAACGCATTGTAACCAAAGAATAAAGTTGTACTATGCAAGTCAAATACTGTCTGTCAACCGGCCATCTTTTTTCCCATTGCGCATCAACTTCAGGATGTAAAGTGTGTAAAAAAAAATATTTATTATATTTCAACGCATTATCGTTGTATGATACAACGGATCACGGCACACAAGACATTTATAATTGAACCCGAAGTCTTGACGTTGCAAAAAGTCGTCTACTTCTTTATTTAGTAATAAAGAAGAGACTAATAACAAAAATTTATTGGTTTGGACTGACTTTCAGTTCAAATCTAATAATAAATCCAATAATATACTTTGCCGTCAGTACTAAATTGACAGCTAAGCTAAGTGAGTACTTAACCCGCTATTCTTATTTGGCCGGTATATTAATATCAGATCCTCCGTTTATCAAATTAACTTATAACAAATTAAAGTTCAAAACAAGAGAAATTGAACAATTTGAATAACCGATAGGTATGGAGTAGCTCGGTGGCGTAGTGGATAAGCGCCGCGGCCCGCGATCGTAATCGTTAAGCAACTTTCGCAAGGGTCGGTCACGGGATGGGTGACCAAAAAATTATTATCTCGAGCTACTCCGTGCTTCGGAAGGCACGTTAAGCCGTTGGTCCCGGCTACATTTGCAGTCGTTAATACCCTCCAATCCGCATTGGGCCAGCGTGGAGGGTCATGGCCCATCCTCCTTAACCATCCATAAGGAAGGCCTGAGCCCCTGCAGTGGGGACGTAAAAAGGGCTGGTGGTGATGGTGGTGATAGGTATGGTGACTAAATTTTATCAATATAAATAAATATGTATTTAGTTCTAATTAATTAACTGACGAGTATAAGATAGAAAGTTTAGAGTGATCCGTTTTGTTTAGTTTAAATAATGTTTTGCTCAATTTTTATTTAAGTTACCTTAGTACAAAGTTAGTCCTTGAAAATTGTGATCGAATATGTATCTATACCATGATTTGTGTAGTGTATATTTTGTAAGTACCCACATACAAGCTTGCACATCAATATTATCCATACTTTAATTGGTTGGATACATTCCATTTCTATATATTACCCTTCTTATGCAGTCGGGTAATTATTAAAGACGCCATAATAATATTGTCTCCCTCATTTTCATAAATTTGAATATAAGCTCTTTATACCAGTCAATAAGCGATGGCAAGAAAAGGGTTAAAATATGGATGATGCCCGAGTAAAAAAAATATTTAGTCCATCAATTAGACAATAGAAAAATATTAGGCGCGTATTTTTTTTTCTTCAAAATAACTTTGTTAACGGGCATTAAAGTTGAAGAGTTACGTCACAGCTTTGTAGAAAATGAACAAAAGCATGATTTTTATCGCCGTAATTTATTGATTACGCAAAAAATTAAAAAAATACATGTTTAATATTCTTCCATAATCTACCTGAAGTACAGACAAAAAAAAATTGTCATCATCCCGATTAGAAAGTAGGGCTACTTTCGGTTCTTAAGCTTTTGTAAATTTAGCGGAAATTCATTTTCATTAACGATGTCATGATGTTCTTATTGTAATGGCTATTGTTTTAGATGATATTACAGCGGTGTTATTGATGTGCAACCTTAAGTCTAAGATGAAAAGAACCATTTTTAATGTGAATTCGAGGGTTGGTACGAGTTTACTAATACGTGTGATGGCCCCTGTTATTATAACGGTACTTATATTTATGATTCTGAATATTTCCTCTCGGTATTTATATTTGAGAATTCAATAAATTATACTGTTACTCATATTGTGGAGTTTTATTTATATAGTCATACTTACGACGAGTAGCTCGGTGGCATAGTGGATAAGCTCCGCGGCCCGCGATCGTAGTCGTTAAGCAACTTTCGCAAGGGTCGGTCACGGGATGGGTGACCAAAAAATTATTATCTCGAGCTACTCCGTGCTTCGGAAGGCACGTTAAGCCGGTGGTCCCGGCTGCATTTGCAGTCGTTAATACCCTCCAATCCGCATTGGGCCGGCGTGGAGGGTCGTGGCCCATCCTCCTTAACCATCCATAAGGAAGGCCTGAGCCCCTGCAGTGGGGACGTAAAAGGGCTGGTGATGATGATGACTTACGACACACACGCTGTTTTGCAGACGACATTCGCCTCTCATGAGATTCCAATATAGTTAATGAATAGCCCTGTGATTCTATAAAAATCCAAACCCGAACTCGAATCCACTCAGGTGTCCTAATTTGCTTCAAAAAGCGGCATCTGCTCAACCTTGAATCGGTAATAACATTTCGTGGCATAAGTGAAGTGAGTTTCGAAATGACAGGAATAGAATATCTGAGACACGTATATTCAATCAATTTTGTTTTGTGATTTTATACAAAAAATGGAATCAGTAGAATTCCTACACTAATTGACGCGAATTCTGACGCATGAGTGATTTCGAATACGGGTCTGGATTTTTATAGAATCGCAGAGCAGTTCTCTATTGTATTGTGCCAGGAAGTTGGGATACATACCACCGTTGTTTTGGATTTTCGTAACACCCCTTGCTTTTTACCCGTTAAGCAGCTTTATTTGGAATCTGCATAACTACTTACGGTCAAAGTTACTAGATAAACTTTCCGAGCAATGAAAATTAGAGATGCGCTGAATATTCATTTGGTATTCGGTATACGCCGTATTCGGCATCTTTTTCACTATTTGTATTCGGCCGGATTATTCGGTTTTGGTGCTGTATATTCAGTTCGCCAAGGACAAAACTTTTTATGTAATATTTTAGTTAAAGAAATCGAATAAAAATTGTGTTCAATAAAATAAAGCATATAAACTTCAAATCAACGTTTGTTTTTAAACCTGTTTACCCAAAACAATGAAATGGTTAACTGAATTATTCAGCCAAATATCCGGTTCGATTAAGGTTTTTTTGGTATAAAAAAACAGATTTTGATTGTATAACAGTGAGCACAAATTTACATGATAATTAAAAAAATAATATAAAGAAATAAATGCCTATTGCCCCACCACTTACAAGAGAACACTGCATGCACAAAATTGATAGTAAAAACCTCATATGTTTAACATTATTCGGTTAAACCGAATAGTATTCGGTATTCGGTTATTCGGTGAAACCACTATTGGGCGCATCTCTAAAGAAAATGAATCTTTACCTTTTTTACAATACATGTCGTTAAAAATATATGCGTGCATCATCATCACCATTAATGTCCCCATTGCTGGGGCACAGGCCTTCCCAATGGATGTAATGGAATATGAAGAAATAGCTGTAACTCAATCATCCATAGCGGATTGGTGGGTGTTAAAGGGTCCACCGGCTTGACGTACTTACCACAGGTGATCTCGAGATAATAAATTGGTTACCCATTCTATAAATGGACCTTGTGGAAGTTGCTTAAGCTCGGCATTTACGAAACTCTAAGCACTGCACCAAAATATTTTTTTTGGCAATCATCGAGGTCACGTGAATGAAAATGAAACAACGGTATCACCTAACAATAGCTTTTATTCTATCCAGCGACTGACTCTTACCTAACAGATGCATCATTTCAGCCACGCTAGGACCTTCACTCAGTCCGCTGAGAACAGACCTTAGCATCTTCATCAACACTGGAAACTTCACGTCGTTATTCGAAGAGAACTCCTTTAAACGACTCTTTATAGTTCCCTCTTCGAAATCATTTAAAGACTCCAGGTGACCCAGGAGTTTCTTTAACAAATCGACATTGATATCTTCCTGGTTACGCGAAGGCAATATCCAAAGGAACCCAAATTTGGGGGACACTAAATCTTCGATCCTCGTTATCCTGGTTATTGCCCAATTCAATACACTGTTAACATGTTCATCGGTTACATTAAGACTCTGTTCTGGATATGTTTGTTTGACGAGCTCCTGTAGTTTAGTTACTAATCGAGTTCTTTCTGAACTACTCATCATACGTTTTATGTCTAATCTGTTGCACTCTTGTAGAAGATCTGGGTTTAAACGACTAGGATGTGAAGAGATTCTTTCGATCTGAAACTAAATTGGATGCAGGTTAGAAAAGCGCATATTCTACATTGTTTCTCGTCACCAGATTATTAATGTCCCCATTGCTGGAGCTCAGGCCTTCCATGTAGAGGGAATCGAATAGGTATATAAAAGAATACCTTTTCAAAAGCAATTTCTTAGGAACAAACTTTGCAGAATGAAAAATGTAGACTGTCATTAGCCAGGTACAATTAGAGATATGTTGGTCCCGGCTGCATCTGCAGTCGTTAATACCCACCAATCCGCACAGGATCCGCGTGGTGGGTCATGGCCATCGACTCCATTAATAGGGAAGACCTGAGCCCCAGCATTGAGGACGTCAATTGGCTCTTGATGAAGCTCACTTTAATTTCTGCTGGAAATGTTATCGATGCCATGTCCAACGGTACGTATTGATCAGTCAAATTCATAATAAATATTGTTCAGTGAAAAACATTAGCATTAATATTATTACCTCTTCAGCTAGTTGATCCATTGTTTTGAGCCTTACCCCGGCCCCTGGCACGTGATCGAATCCACCACCAGACAAAGTTATATAATTCACTAACGCTAAAGGCAATATACCTGCAACAAAATAGAAGGGAGTGAGTTTATACGTGGGAGAGCCACGCTTCGGCATGAATGGGCCGACTCGACCGGAGTGATATCACGGCCTCACAGAAAACCGACGTGAAGCAACGCTTGCGTTGTGTTTCGTTGTGTGAGTGAGGCTACCGGAGGCCCAACCCCTCCCTATTCCCTTCCCTCTACCCCTCAACCCTTCGTTCCCTATGATCATATTCGTCCCTTAAAAGGCCGGCAGCGCGCTTGTAGCCCGTCTGGTGTTGCAGGTGTCCATGGGCGACGGTAATCACTTACCATCAGGTGATCCGTCTGCTCGTCAAGATTTTTTTAGAAAAAGTCGCATGTATTACCTCTATTATCTCTATTTATTGTTTAATTTTCTTACTACTTACAGCAAAGTTTTTAAATTTATAAGAACTTTTATCAATAACAATAGGGTATTCTACTCCGTTTGAAATAATACTTCTAACTGTTGATTTAGTTAAAAAAGCCATAAAACAAATATTTCGGTAAAATAAACGCATTTTCTTGCCTTAAAATTAAATCAAATTATAAACTTTTTTATACCCGCGAAAACGTTGTCCGTCATATTAATGACGTCACTGTGATATGTACACAAAACGAATGCATAGAGTAGAAGATTAAAAGATGTCAATAAAACAATAACAATGCCATCTAACGATCGATATAGGAATTTGATTTATAATTGATAGGAATATCTTTATGACTGACAGTTGTCGTCACAGTGACGTTACACAATGGCGGAATAAAGACTTTTGATTTTAACGGTAAGTTACACAAACGTCCATTAAGGTTTAATGATGCCTTTAAAGCTCTAATGAATGTCAAATATACGGTGAGTTGCACAAACGTTCATTAGGGCTTAATGACGCCTTAAAGCTCTAATGAATGTCAAATTTGTATCGGTAATGTCACTTTAAACTAATGTCAATTGTAATGGACGTTTGTGCAACTAGCTGATAATCAATCAAATAAATATAGGGTAATGTCGCTTTAAACAAATTAAACTTTAATGGACATTTGTGCAACTGGCTGTAAGATAATATAATATAATCGTGCTATTTTTATAGCTATGTAATTTTAGTTTCTGTGCAATTTCGTGACTAATTTTTCAGTTAGATATATTAGAGAGACATTTATTATAGAGACAAGTCTGGTAAGGTAAATTATTCATGGGGGGTCAGTGGTAACAGTTAATTTTGGAATTCCCAAACAATATTGGACAAGGCAAAATTGTTTTTGAACAGATTAAGGTAGATTAAGGTAGTTAATAATAATAATGGCTTTATTTCACACTAGCTTTCGCCAGCGGCTTCGCCCGCGTGGTTTCTAGGGAAAAGTTTTGTGGAATAAAACGTTTCCTATTATCTGAGTCAGCTAATAACCTATCTGTATACCAAATTTCAACAAAATCCGTTCAGTAGTTTCGGTGTGATTGACGGACAAATATCGAAACAAAGAAACTTTCACATTTATAATATTAATAGGATAAAAAATTTAGTTTTATCCTATTAATCCTATTAGTTTTATTGCAATTAACAATGACTCTTTTTAGATAATTAGTATCTGTATCAAGAAACAGTGCTCTACTACAGCTGTAATACATATTATTTTAATATTTTACAATAAAATTGAGTCTAGGAACATACTTTTATACAGCTAGTTACACAAACGTATATTAAATTGTCATCAGTTTAAAGTGACATTACCCATACAAATTTGACATTAATTAGAGTTTAAAGGCGGCATTAAACCTTAATGGCCGTTTGTGCAACTGACCGATAGTGTTTTATCCCATAATTCATCGTCAAAATCATATCCATGACAATTATCTGTGCATAAAAGGCTGCATCATAGATTATTGAAGAATGCGTTTCATCGGAGTCGTATTAACATTTCCAAAATAGACGAAATTCCGGCGATACAGAATAGGCGTCAGTTTAATTCGTACAAGTAGTAACAGTCGGTCGACTTACCATTATTCCTATAATCTTCTACTTTCACATCACTCTGTCTTTTGCTGAGCTTCGTCCCATCAGAGTTTACGATTAGAGGGAGATGTCCATACTGTGGTGGTGACCAACCAAAAGCCCTATAAAGAATAGATAGTAGCCCCTTAATGTGCTTATCTAATTAATTAGTAGTATATATATCTAATATAGTAGAAACTTTCGTAGAATTAACATTCGGAAAGCTATAAAATGAGGTCTGAGGTCCTAGATTAAGACTAGTAATAGTTTATTGCCATAAAATCATTTTACATTGTATAATAATACTACGGAAGGCGTTATAAACAGTATTTTTAGAGCAACTTACTTATAAATTAGTAGATGTTTTGTGGTAGATATTTGCCATTCCACTCCCCTGAGAACGTGTGTTATATTCATGAGATAATCATCCACCACGTTGGCAAAGTGGTATGTCGGAAACCCATCACTCTTCATCAGAACTGGGTCGCCTTCATTCAGAGATACATCATAAGCGATCCCACCGAAGATCAGGTCTTCAAATGATGAACAGTCTGAAGATAACTAATGATGTTTGATCATATTAGTATATTTTATTGTACTATACTAGTATTATAAAAAGATTAAGTCCTCAACTTTGTTTTTAATACTCTTAAGATTTTTTTTTCTATAGTGAATGTATTACTGCGTACCCGTTCCCCTCAGCGCAGGATTCGGGTTATGTGGGGTTCTCCCCTGCTGCAGCTATCATGAAAATTTTTTAGGGTCGGATCTAGGGCCCGTGTCAATGGGGTAACCAAAATCATCATATAATAACAGTAAAAAAAGTGGTTTGTATTACATACACACTATAGTATATTTTGAAAGTCACTAAATAAAAAAAGGAAAAGAAATCATACATAAAATAAAGTGTTAAAAAAACCGGACAGCCTCACAGACTAGGAAGGGGGTATATAGGCGCACTATCAAATGTTTGCTTCGAAAAAAATATACTTCCGGCCTACATTTTTTTCACCTACTACTAGTATATAAAAATAAATACTTATTATTTTAATATTTCAATAAAATTTTGACACTGATAGTAAATCGTCATATTTACATTCCCACTGCCGAGGTACCCAAGCCACCCAAAACTACTAGAAGTGGGAAAAACTTTTTTAATAAACAATATAATAATAGTATGAGTGGTGTGAGACCTTAAAGTAAATAATTAAAAGTTGAAAAAAACTAACAACTTATAAGATAACATACTAAGTAATCTTTATTGAATTCACAAATACAATAAAGGTTATTTAATAAAAAAATTGTAAGTCCTAATATTACCTTAAATCTTACACAGTAAGGCGTACCATTGTTGATCTTCTCTTTAATCTCTGCTGCTGTCAAATTTCGACAGCGGTTATCATATTTAGGTGTCAGTTGAGATCTTACAGCATCTCTACGCAGTAAATTCAAACGCCTCTCAGTGCAAAAACATTTGTATGCTGATCCATTGTCTAACAATTTATTCATGTAATCCCTGTAATGTCATATGATATTAAAATACCTACATAAAAATAACAAATAAACAACAGTGACAACTCCATTAATCAGATTTATTGATATTTAGTTTATTTATAATGTCTTTTTTAGTAAGAATTATATTATTATATTGTTAGGCATTTCAATAGACTTAAATTCATATATTATAAATAAAAATATATTTTCTAACAACTAAATCAACAGGCAAAATGCTAATTGGTAAAGTAACATTTTTTATTTTATTTTTTGAAGTAGCTCAGACAACTAGTTGAAAGAATTGGTCAACTGGTTGGCTAGCGTTTTAATTGAATGGTGCCACTGAAATTTTACAAACAATTTCATAAAAAATATAATAGAATTTCTAAAATACTATTTGTTCATTATAAAATCAAATTAAACTTCTAAAAAAATGTTTTTTTTTAAGAAATTGAAGATGTATTTAAGCAAAATGCCTAAAAAACCCATTTTCTTGGGGTGTACATAAAGGGCACTGAAGAACCAAGATTTAGATAGGTATATTTTACAAAAAAATATTTCATCAAAAATTTTTTATTTTTCGATTTCATCGTATAGTACACAGTAAACAACATTTTGGTTATGTTGATTAGAACTGTGATAAAAAAAATTAAATCTTTTCCTTAGTGCTGCCTTTTCCTTTACATACTGTCATAATATTCACGAAATAAGATAAAGATTGTTTTATTTTTAAAAACTACTACTTACTGGTATATATGTAATCTTTCGCTCTGTACGTAAGGACCAAACATACCTCCATGCTTAGGTCCCTCATGGCACTCAATACCAGCCCATTCCAAATCAGCTACCAGGGTATCTATAGATCCTTCAACTTTTCTCGTCTGATCTGTATCTTCTATCCGCAGTATAAATGTCCCATTGCGTGATTTTGCAAATAAATAATTGTATAGTGCTGTTCTTAAGCCGCCGAGATGTAAATAGCCAGTCGGGCTCGGTGCAAACCTTACACGAGGAGTTTTTGTGTGGATCCTTTTATGCAGCACATACAGTTGCGAAGAGAACAAGCGTGTTAGCAACGACGAATTCATTTTCACTCAATAATCATGCATAATTGATTGAAATCCTCGAAGTCGAATCGGCAATCAGCTGTTTCTGGTGACATTTGTTTGACATTGACATTCACTGACGTTTAAAAACATTGTAGGTCAATGATGGAAAGCAATACGTTCAGTAATATCTACTCAACAATCATGTACCGACAAAACAAGATAATTTATGTATAATTTACTTACTGATTACATTTCACCCGGCATGAATGAAAGTCAACCTAAGTGAAGAAGTTTTGTATATGTCTATAATTAATATTAACCACTTGACTTTCATAGGAGTTTCTTGTAGATAAAAGTAAAAGGTAGTCAATATCCACCTTTTAAATAGCTAAGTATTATTTATATGCTTTATAAACTAGTTTTGAAAATTTCTACACAGCATTCACTTTTTGCCTAGTATTAATAAAATATGTTTATGAAAATCACGTTAACTATTTAACATACACTTTAGATTACTAAACGACTTAGGGCTGTCTATGGGTATTTTAAAAATATTGCCAGTTTAAAATCAAATTATATTACTATTTATTAGGTTATTCTATAAATGCTTATTCAAACCTATAATAAACATATTTCATGAAATAAACTTTAAATTCATTTAAGAGACAAAAACGAAGATGCAACCTGCTTCAAACTGTCTTTATGTTCCAAATTATGCCATTAGAAAGACATCATTGAACATTTGTTAACATTTTCATATTTTCATATTATCGTTTTATAAATTATTACATAAAATCCAATCAAAATGAGTAATACAAAAAATTAATTAAAAGGTTTACTGTAAAATATTACAACAAACCTTTAAGGCTGGAGTTCACCGACAGTCGGTTAAACATTGATTGAGAAATCGGTCAATGAAATTGTAATCGTTGTTTAAACAGCAATAAAAAAAAAACATGTTCATCAGGTAAATTTTAATTACGATTACCAAATCGGCTGATTATCTATTTTTAGAACGAATATACGAACGGTAATACACTAATCATTTGCATAGGTAGTTCTGCCGTATTAATACGACACGGTTTATATTGACACTTAAATATAACAGCATAATAAAAATACTAACAAATTTTAAGAGTACGGATGACTTAACAGGAATGATATAAATCAATATATTTTAAGTTTGGTCATCCTATAAATACAAAATAATAATAAATAATAGGGCACATAGAACAAAGAAAAAGATGAGTATCATTGTCAAACTGTGAATTACAAAACAATAAACTCGTATTGGAAATGATTTTGTTTCGTTTGTATCGTATCGCGTGAAATAATAAAAGATCCTTAAGGAAGAAATTGAATTAAAAGTAGATAAATAGTTTGTCGAAATGGAAAAAAATGCACCTTTAATTTCATGAGCGACAAGAAGCGCGTAATAATGGAATTGGCGCTCAGGTATAAAGATGTACGAGTTCACAATTTTTGTTATTTCTTATAAATATATGTATATAGGTCGTGTAATAAAATGTTTGCTTTTCATGATTTATTACGTTTTATTAAATTCAACTCCTTTTTACATTACTGATTCATAAGAGACTCAAAATATTAATTAATTAATAATCATCTAACTGGATTTAAATCTGTTCTTGTACCATTATATACTGAGTGCGGTTGTCTTATTATTCGTTGATCTATTATATCTTCCCATGGCTCTGGCAAGTCTACCGTTTGATCATAAGACGGTATTTCATGACCTCTCGTTTGCGATGTATTATGTAAAACTGCAGCAGCCACTATGATAGGTATATATATTCATCCAGATTTTCAAGCAGTTCTAGATCCCAATACTCTTGGTAATTATCTAGAACATTAAACACTGACTGCATTTTAATTTTATTTATTTGATAGGTTATAAACACAGAGCAAACGACGTCAAATAATGACTGAAGTCGATAATAATCAATGTTAAAACGGGGTTGTAGGGCTCGATTAAATTAATCGGTCGATTAAAGATCTAATCAATTGATTAGTTTGTGGTGAACACATAAATTTCATTAATCAACTGATAAAATTCTAATAAGTTGATTAGAAAGTCGGTGAACTCCAGCCTTAATCAATCAATCGTTCACTGTGGAAAATTTAATGTTTGTTATGGCAACAAAAATAGTCTATGGTGGTTGTTATTTCACTTTGGTACCGATGTCGAAATAACAGTGAAAGTCATTAAATTTAACAAAAATCTATCGAAAATGGTGAGTAATCACATTAAATCATGTAATAAAACTGTTACGTTACGCATTTATGAATAAAATTATATTATTTCGTTTAGTTAATTACGATAAATGACAGCCAAGTAATGTGGAGGTTATGACGTTCCTGCGTTTTCTTTCAGAATAAATTAAAATCATCACAGAGGGACAAAGTGAAGAAATTTGTTGCATTCACGCAAACAAGTGAAACCACGGCAATATATTGCCTCTCTCAAAATGATTGGAAACTGGATCTCGCGAGTGATAATTACTTCCAGAACCCTGAAGCATACTACAAAGATCCCGTGAAGGCATCGGTAGATAGAAAAAAACTTGAACAACTCTTCAACAAGTACAGGGATCAGCAGGAGACCGATAAAATCACAGTGGATGGTGTTATGAAGTTCCTAGAAGATTTAAATCTTAGCCCTGAATCTATTTTAGTTTTGATCATTGCATGGAAATGTAAAGCTGCAGTGCAGTGCGAATTTACAAAAGATGAGTTCACGACGGGTTTGTTAGAACTGGGAGTGGACAGTATAGACAAGTTGAAAGCGAAACTGCCAACACTTGAATCAGAAATAAAAGATACAAATAAATTTAAAGATTTCTATCATTTCACATTTAATTATGCTAAAAATCCAGGTCAAAAAGGCCTTGAGCTGGATATGGCAATAGCCTATTGGAATATTGTTCTTCGTGGGAGGTTCAAATTTTTAGATGCTTGGTGTAAATTTCTCACAGTAAGTAACAACTATATTGTCATTTTATAATTTTATTACAAAATAAATTTAAATTTAAAACCTATAATTAATATGGTATGATATATAGTACTTAACTATATTGAGGTTCATTAATATTACAGGAGCATCATAAAAGATCTATACCAAAAGATACTTGGAATCTGCTTCTAGATTTTGCCACTCAAATTGATGATGGCATGAGCAACTATGATGCAGAAGGAGCTTGGCCGGTCCTCATAGATGATTTTGTAGAGTGGTGCCAGAAGCAAGGCCTCACTGCAGAAGGGGTTAAGGCATTGGAGCCAGCATCTGGCTAGCTGACACTCAATGGCTACTCAAAGCATGAAGCGAAGACACACAACACATTTGTTGAGGCAGAATTGCAGGAATGTAATGTTGCCATTGTTCTAAAGACATATATATTTTCTGTACTGTCTCGCTTTTTGCTATACAGTCTTGAGCTGTGTACGGTTGTGTGGATTGCAGTCCTGATTGTATTTGAACTGTGTAGCTGACTAAATTGTAATTTGATATTGTCACCAGTCCTTGAGTCATATAAAAACTTGGTTTATGTGAAAGCTTTGTTGGATTTAGATGGGCAAAGATAGATAATGTTGACTTTAAATTCACTCTACTGTATGGGGCTTTTACACTGATTGTCCGTTAGGTAAATTTTTTGTGTAGATTCTTGTTGATCCCGTTTTATTACCTGCACTAGGGTATTACATAAAATGAAGGGAAAAAATATTGTTCTCTCAAAAAGATAATGTAAGAAATATTTTAAATGATTTTCAAATTTTTAAGAAAGTTCTCTTATTTTATAGTATAGAATGCCGTAAAGTTTAAATTAAGATGTAAATATGTATATACACTTAATGATATTACTTTTTAGAATTAATGCTTAGATTTTTTTCTGTGTTTTTCATAGCCTAAAAGCTGAACTAGTTAATGACAATGGTTTTATTCAGTTATTAGTTATTTCAATTCTTAACATGGGTTAATGTAATAATTTCAATACTTAATGGTAAGACCAGGTTTAGATATCTAATATTTTTTACTGTTCCTTCCAGAACTAAATACACTTCATTATAATCGTAAGTTCTTCAGTTACATCAAATGGAAGTCCAAAAAGATATTTGTCTTATACTTATAATGATATGACTAAAAAATTAACTACCATCACTAAAAAAATATAATCTATAATGTGTTGCATTGGTGATGATATATTGATGTTATCTGTGATTGATTACTATAAAAAGTTTACTACACTCCATTCAAAAAACAAATTATTCCTGTAAAGTTAAAATTTATATTCCTAATTGAATTTCTCTGTTTGAACTTTTCTTACTAAACTACACTTGACTATTCTTACATTTTAAAAATATAAATACAATATCTTTTTTTATTGAGTAATCTACACAGAATATCTATTAATTTAACTACTTACCTAATAATTTTCATTGTTTGTAGATGTTTCTAGGAAGTACTTTTGCTTCTAGTTTAACATTGAATTAAAATCTAATTAAAATGTTTGGTACTTAGTTTTATTGTACAAAAGATTAAATTGATGTATTGAGTATTAAATTACATTAAATTGTTAAGTATTCGTTTTCGTCGGTTAGGTGTCCGTCAATCCAGCGGCATAACCCCCTCGGTATTTGAATTTTAAATAATAATTTAGTCATTCGCAAAAAAGCACAAAAACGTGAGTTTAATCATACAGGCTTTTCAAGAACACACTTCAAAAGAAAAATCGCTATGGATAGGAAATTGCGTGTGATGGGAAAACAAAAGTGGCCGGAACGGCACTGAACACGCAATAGTTCTTCATAGTTTCTTCACAAGTAAAGGTAAAAAAGTTGTGATAATTGGTTGAACAAAATTCAAAATACTTAAATATGTTTTAACATCTGTAACGTGTAGTTTAATAATTCGCAGCAAACATTAGCGCCGTCAATATGTGAAAAAATAACTCTAATTAGCTCATATACTTTATTGTCGGGCCGTCGAGTTGGGCGAAAACTGAATCAGACTAATATTCAGTTGATGATTCTCTAAGTAATACCTATATAAATAAAATTCTTGTGTCACAGTTTTAGTAACCATACTCCTCCGAAACCGATGACTTAACCAATTTTGATGAAATTTTATAGTCAGCTGGTTCGCTAAAATAAATAAAAATAATTATCACCGCTACGTCCCAGACTAAATAAATAGAAGATTAAAAATGGAAAAGTTTTTTAAATTAACTAAACATATAAACAGGCGTCTAGCTGTAGAACATGGTATTAACGTCAGCCCATTAGCGCCAAACAGACTGCTCCTGACTGAAATTACAGTGGTTTTATTTATAATATTATACTTTTTTTTCAAAGAATTCATATCCAAATCCTAAGTTGGCGATCGCCGCTGGACTGATGAACACATGGTCTTCTCTATAATATCCTCTTTTCATATTATAGTAATATATTTATCAATACATATAGCATTGTGAATGCGAATTTGATCAAATATAATATTTTTTGGTTTGTTAAAACTAAACTTTTATTACTCTTCCTGTTTTTAAACTAAAGTGTCTTGGAAATATCGCACATAATTGTCCTGACTTTTTAACTTTAAATTGAAAAGCCAGCTTTGTTTTTGAAATTTTGATATTAAATCTTTATTCTTATCGAAGAAGTATTTAAAAAAACATACATTAGTTTCCGAAATCAAACTAGATGTCGCTACGGTACTTTCTTGATTTCTCTATGACAACCTTTCCGTTTTTCTTTCATGTATGAAAGTAAATTAGTTTTCAAAACTCAATAAACAACTCATATTCTATTTGTACTTTTTCGTAATTGTATGGATATCATAGTTTCGAACTTTGCAAATTTCAGTTTTTTTTATATGTTACTTTAAAGGAACGGAAATGACTATCTTTGGTGTATTCGTTACTTGCAAAAAATCAACTTTTGCTGGAGTCGCCATCTAGTGGAGTTTTTTAGTGCTTTCTTTTTTTTAATATTTCCTCACTTACTTATCTAAAAGACATTATCGTGCTATTATAAATCTATTGAATAAAAAAATGGCCATGATGAGCTCGAGAAATGTGTAATAGAGGAAGAAAATATGGATGCAAGATTTATAATAATATCGATATGTCGGTTTCTGTTGCTATCGATATTTTTAAGGCCGTGATGAGATCCAAAAGATCTTGCACATAAAACCCTTATGTTAATAAAATTAGTGCTGCATATTTTTGTGTAGAAATAACTAAATTGCTGTTGAAACTTTGTTGAATAAATAAATAAATAAATTACAACATAAATGGTGGCAACTACTGAATTAAAAAACACAGCTTGGAAAGCTTACGTCTAAGCCTCTTTCCTACTTCGTGTAATGGTGACTCCTTTGTAAAAAATAACCGACCAATTGCAAGTTGGACTTGCATAAGTAGAATAATGTACCGGAAACTTACAAAATATCACGTTAGTTATACGGCCTCAGACGTATGGACAGCAGATTCTTGGTAATAGGATCCTGTTTTTTACCCTTTTGTTAACTCTACTCTAAAAAGACATTCAGAAGAACAATTTTAAGGGCTACCCAAAAATTTATCGTTGCGTCCATAAGTAAGAGATATCCATACCCTATGCAGTAGATCAGTGCCGACCAGTTTTCGCCGACTCGGCCTAATTACTTGTAATTTTTCCTAAATTTAGGTAGATTGTTAAGTTGGAAACATTAGAATGGAACGTAGTGTTCAATCGGTTTAATTTCTCGGCCTGACTTTCCAACCATACAGAAACAATGTGTTTTTCTATAATCGGGGATTCCCTAGATCTATCTCTTTTAATTTTTGACGAAGAAGAACACAATCAACAATTATCTTCTTGCTTGACATAAGTGGACGCTCTTAAAACAATTATTCGATTATTTTAAAATAAACAAACACAGTAATCAAACCTAATAAAATACATATCTTCATATTGGTAATCGGTATGTTGTTCTGTTTTACCATAATATAATAATTTTCTTGTTAAGTTTCCTTTCAATGCATGCTAAAAGTGAGGCAACTTGAAAATAAAAAAAAATCTTCAATGTTCTTTTTCGCCGACCCAGTAGGTCTTGTTCAATGAGCAAGGGAACTATAAGAGGGCGTCTGAGGGAAATGAGGAAGTATTAGAAAAAAAATGAGTTCCCGAAATTAAACTAGATGTCGCTACGGTATGTTCTTGATTTCTCCTTCCAGTTTTCTTTCAAGTTTAAAAGTAAATTTGTTTACAAAACTCAATTAACAACTCATATTCTATTTGTACTTTTTCGTATTTATATTGATATCTGAGTTTCGAACTTTTCAAATTTCAGTTTTAATATGTTAGTTAAAATGAACGGAAATGACTGTCTGTTGTTCCATTAGTTTCCTGCAAAAATGAACTTTTGCTACAGTCGCCATCTAGGTGGAGGTATTTTTGTAGTGCTTTTGGTTTTTTAAAATACTTCCTCATTATACAGAATCAGAAAGAAGCGCCGGACGAAGAAGGGGCGCCCCTGGGCGGTCGCCCAACTGCGCCCTACCCTAACGCCGCTACTGCAGTAGATATCTTTCGGATTGCGCTTATTTCAATACTTGAAAATAAAACAAGACTATATAGATTATGCAGATATACAATCCACAAGCTACGTAGGTCTAACAATATTATCGAATTCTATCGTGGAGGCTTCCTCTCGTCTCAATACTACGTGAAGTTATCTTGGCGATTGGCTAATGGATCATGCCTTGGCACTATCAGTTCCCAAATGCTGTGGTGTAGTGTTTACCAGAAAGCGTAACATTCCTTCAGATCAAAAGTTTTTCAAGATGTCCCTATTCCCATGGATAACCCCAAGTTATATTTTTAGGCGTTGTTCTAGATTTTAAATTATGAGGAAATCCTAATTTCCATAGTGTTGTAAATAAATGCGAGAAAGGGGTCAATGTTCTCCGTGTTCTTGCGGGTGTATAGTGGGGTGCACATCCATTCATTCAAAAATTAATATATAATGTCCTAGTCCGTTGTCACTTCGACTATGGTTCCTTTCTTTTAGACCCATGTAATAAAGTTACCATTTGATAAAATAACTAAAGGTCAATCAAAATGCTTGCGGATCATTATAAGAGACATGAAGACGTCTCCTATTAATAGTCTCAGATCGAATGCATTGATCTCCGTCTCATCCAAACAGCATGTTAATCATCCAGTTGGATCATTAGTATGGAATCCCGCTAACAGATTAATATTAAGTTTCAAAATTCCCCCTCTCTCTTCCGTATATACAGGAGATGCTTTAGCTTTCCTTGAGGCCATCCTATTTGCCGTATCTCATTATTTTCACAGATTCACAGAGTTGCTTACAGTCTATAATATCAAATCCGTTTCGTTCTAAAAATAAATTTCCCATAATATTAAAAATAAGACAAACATTGTACAGATGCCATCTTAAGAAGCTACTCATTATAATCACATATACCAGAACACTATGGTACAGGGATGTTAGACGGCCACTTTAGAAATCCTTGTGCCGAGCTGGCTGAAAGCTGGTATTCGAGGGGGGAAACTAGTACGCCTGTGCTCCGCTCTGGCGCTGCCAATTCTGGGAGACAAACTGTGTGGGAAATCGCATCTCAGTAAAAAAAATGCCCATTTCAATTTCGTATACCGTTAATAAAGGGCAGTAATTATCGAACACACGGAAGAAATATCACTTTTAACATTTTATTTGATGTTATATTGCATTTCGGATATAATATGTAAAATATATTGAAAAAAATAAATAAATGATTTGTAACGAAGATTTTTTATCGAAAACGGCGGTTCGCTTGAGCAAACAACTGATACTAAGTACTTAAAAAAAAATAATCCCGTGCAGGAATCGAACCCGGGGCCCCGTGAACGTGAGCGCAACGCGTTACCATTACGCTATCTAACATATTGAGAAAATAACGGCGGAAAATGGTAACTGCTCATCGAGACAGCTTGATATAATAAAGTTTTATGACATTAAGGAAATCTGATTGGAATGTTTTTTTACATGCATCTCTGAAATTTGTCGATTATTCTATGTTGTCAGTGTATTTTTGTCGGTCAACGGCCAATCTTGGTATTTTTGCATACAATGACTGAGTAGTCTTGGTACATGGTACGTGACACTAAAAACTAGTAAGTATACCAAGAAGTTGGTACGTCTGACATCATTGCTATGGTATTCCTGGGAACGAGACAGCTGATGCATCTGCTAAACAAGCTGTTATAAGTGGCTCTTTCAAATATCCTAAACTTTTCCATCACGACCTCTTTGTGCTAGCGCATGAACATTTAACGAAGTCATGGAATGTTGATTGGGAAAATACTAGAAATAGAGTGGGAAAGTATTATTTTGACATTCAGAAAAGTATCCTCAGTACACCTTGGTTCTTTAACTATGGATCATATTTTATTTAATTGTCCTAATTTATCCATCTACCTTTATGATTTGCTCCGGTCAAAAGTTCCTCGTTCAACAAATATAAAATGTATCTTGAGTATGGAGAAACCCAGCCCATACAAAATTTTATCTAAATTCCTAACAATTAATAATAGTCTTAATTAATAAATATCTTTGTTTTCTATAATAATTCTATTTGTATTATCTTTAACAATGTAATCGGATAAATGCTCCTGAGCCTTTTTTTATTGTTTTATCCCCAAAATTCAAAATTGACATATTTTTATTATTGTTTCTTTACGTGTAAAGACCACAAACGTGACATTGGCGGATTTGTGTAAACGCAAATAGGCTATGAATTAAAAAAGAAGAAGAATATTATTTTCATTTATTGCACAGATTGTTTACTAAAAATATCAATAAATATTAAAATGTCTGGCATAAAACTGGGTGGAGTTTTAAAAGAATTACGCATTCATTTATGCCAGACGAGTAAGCAATCAGCCGGAGTACGGTATGAAATTATTTTCGATTACATAAACAGTCTTAACCAAAAACACCTCAAGCAAGTTAAATAAATGATTTTTTTCAGAGATTTCATTCAACAAAATTATGTAAATATCAAAAAGGATAACCCAAACTTCCCTATACTAATACGTGAATGCAGCGGAGTACAGCCTCGAGTCTGGGCTCGTTATGGTATGTTGTAGTTAATCATACGATTTCATGTAGTAATGATGATCCTTAGAATAGTGAGTTTTTATTAATACAAAAGGTGACAATTAATATTATCTTTTGTATGTTTTGAATTCAGAAATCATGGTTTTATTTTTTATGTTTTTGTTAATTAATGAACTTATTGTCAAACAAATGTTCTTATGAGACAGTTTAACAGTTTGTTTAAAAAAGTTACATATTTTATGTATATTAGTTATACATACATACATTGTATATTACCTACTGAAATGTATGTGCATTTTATTGCAGAAAAGGGTTATGAAGTTTGCACTTCCCTCATTGACTTGAACGCTGATCAAGTCAAGGCTATCATTAAGTCACTCAATAAATGATCTTTGTTAGTTTTTGGTCTGTTAAGTAGTTTATTTTTATGTATAGTAGATTATGACTATGGCTCAGGCAAATATTGGTGATGATTCTGTTGCCACTCTGAACTTAATTTAACCAAAAAAATACTTAGGGTTTGTTTTAGCTGTATTTTTCTATGTAAGCTTAAGTTCATTATAATAATGATAAGCCTTTATTCAGAGAACCATTAAATTTACAAGTCAAATATATTATTAATTAATAAATACCATTTCATTATTGAATTATACAATTATCTTATTTAGTCAAATTTTATAATGTAATTAATAATCCAATATCAACATATAGAAGCAGAATATACATTATGTTGTTTCGTCCGTTAGCTTTGTTTGCCTTTTGACATAGGCCTTAATAATCTTTCCCATTATTTTATTTGATGTCAATCTAGTCCATGTCACTCCTGCAATCTTAGCAAGTTTGTTTTTCCTTCCATCTCTTCTTTCTTTTTATTACCTTCTATTACCTATTAATAAACTGATAGATATACTATCAGTGAAATCTATCAGTTTGGTCTTCAATCTAATTGTCATATGCTTCAATTTTTGCTTTTTCATAAAACCTAATGTGCTTCTTTTCATTGCTCTTTGGCAATTCCTTATTTAACATATGGGATCTATTAAGTGACCATGTTTCACATCCATAACTAAGAAGGTGCAGTATGCAAGTATTGAAGAGCTTTCTTTCCCTTTAACCTAGGAATAGTAGGGAATGTTTTATTTTTCTGAATTTTCTTTAGTGACCAATAGCTCTTCCAGGCTCCACTTATAATTGTATCGATTTCTTTATTTGTCATGTCTAGTTGTGAATTAATTTGTTCCAATTACTTATATTTGTCTGAATATTCTATTTTGTCTTTACTCACCAAAATTGCAAATTAAATTTAATTCATCATGGCCTTGGTTTTGGACATATTCATTGCTTACCCCACTTTTCTGCTTCGCTCATTAAGCTCTTCTTACCATTTTTTGTATGTTGTTCAGCCAGAAAATCACTCTTACAGTACTATTTACTCTACGATTACGCAATAATAAATCTTTATTCTTATCAATTAAAATATCATATTTTAGCCAACACCTAAAATATGTAAATACCTTTATAGAAAAAACATAATGTTTTTATGTCATATTTTATTGCATGTTCTAGAGAATTGTGATGATCACAATATATTTTATTTTACATATAATTTTTACAAATTGATAATTACTATACCTACATTTTAATTCTATAGGCAGGATCCGGCCACATCATTTACTTTTGTTTGTGCAACAGAATTGATACCATTATCTTTCATTAGTGTAATATGGCATAATACACTCTAGTATTTTTACATACCACTTAGTTTTAACTAGACCACTACATCTCTTCAATGTAACAGTTGTAATATTTAAATAGAAAAAGTGATCATGGTCCGTTAGAATAATAATAAATGAAAAAAAATCTTAGGGCTGTCTATTTATATCGAATAATTGACCTTAAAATCAGATTTGTCTGAAACAAAAACAATCATACCATTATAATGTAGTTAATAATTGCTAAGGTAGTTATGAAAAACTCATTTTCATAAAGAGTCATGTCAAACTAGAAAACAACTGTATTTATAAAATCAAGTTAACAACTCTTCTGTTAAATAATGATTACATAATAATTTTAAATTATTATTATTTTCAGAAAAAGGAGTAGAACGCAGCGCTCCTCTTACTAATTTGGGTGCAAGCGATGTATTGTCAACTATCAAGCAATTATTGAAATAATTACCATTTATTTATTTAATGATGTAAATATATTAGTATACATATAGAGAAAACTTATGTTTTAATTAAACCATTTTGTTCAATTCAAAATCTTTTATTGTACCTTAAGTTAACTACACGGCTTTCTAAAAATCACAAAAAAAATGTTAACTACAGGACTAAACACAATTTCAAAAATTTATTGCACTGGACTGCGGTTCGTACAAACTTGATGAATATACTTTTTGTTACTAGATCACTATAAATTTTTGTATATAGTTTACTTATGGTTCCAAATAATCTAAAAACCTGGGTGGTGAATAAAAAACAAAAATAACATAACTGTTATGCGATAACTTCCTCAAAAAAAAACTTCTAATAACTTCACACAATGAACAACTAACGGAAGGAGCATGGAATTTTTTTTGAAACTACCCACTTTTTGGTACAGTATTTTATTCCCAGTTGATCTTTTTATCAAACGATGGTAACAAGTAGGTTAAACATTTCTATCAAGTTGATTTTGTTGCTCCGCGGTCGCAGTCGCCTCTGCCATCGCGCATGCGGGCTTTCATTTGCGTTCTCAGATTAATCAGTAAGCCGTTCAGTTTGCGACCTTATGCATACAAACTTCTAACTGCAAGGAACCAAATCATGCTGTCCTTTGATAAGTATACATTCAAGGGAAGATGCCCTTAATAATCAGTCATTGTAATAACCCTCCTGGATAAAAGTATATTTTATGTCGCGTAAATACCCACAGCACGTTTAGCTACAATATGTCAAATTTCCTCAATCGATTTTGAACTCTACGAACAGTGCGTTTAGATAATTAATCGAGTGAAGAAATTTAAAATTTCGTATAGCCGGACTTGCTGTTGACTGTACAAACGACAGCATATTTTCATAGTCATTTTAGTTTTAATACAGGATATAAGATATAACTTTCCTAAGTCAAACAGTAATCATAAGAACAGAAATATTCTCTTATGATTTTCTGGCTGTTAATGCAACCGGTACCAATAGTTAACGTAACAGTTATAATAATAATTCATATACAATAGAAAATCCGTTACTTGTACGTACGTTGCAGCCAGTGCGCGAAGTGAATGTTCACCATAAGTATAACGTCAAAGGATCACCAAATTAATATTAAAATATATTATAATAATAAATATAAATATGACTACGGTATTGAAGATGATCGTCACAGCGTCCTAATAAAATATGACTCTCACAACTAATACATAATCAGTCCACTATAACAAAATATTGTCTAAAAATATCAATTCTGATTATAGGTAACAAGTTTTTTTAATTTGTACTTATTTTATACTGTTTACATTTGTCATTTTACAATATGACTACATGGCAGCACATTTGATACTACAAAAAACTAAATTTCTATAAACGATTTCAACCCTAGTGCCCTTGCGAGTAGAGATCAAAATCGATTGCAGAAATTTTCCATTTAGTGGTAACCTGATATGCCTCTAACCTCTATGTATGTACAATTCTACAATAACAAAAATAAATATTTTTAAAACTTAAAGTGTTGTCCACACTATTGTAAACCAACATTTCAACAAAGGTGACCTTGGTGGAAATCTGGTTCACAACCGTGTGGATCACACTTAATGACTTGTCATAAAAACTTAAAAAGTAAACACGTTTCTAATAAATCTAATATGTTGAACATGCCAAGTCAAACTTATTCATTAATTTGTTAATTCTGTGCACAACCTTGTGGTACACAAGTAACAAGATGCTCTTCAATAAATCATTTTTTTTCTCTTTGATTTACACTGCACATCTTTGAAATAAACAAACAACAAAGTCATCTCAAACAAATAGGGCGCTATTAAAGTTTATTCGAAAAATTGAGGCTTTTTTTATTATTGAAATTCTTTTATTGGGGTTAACAGTACGAGCGACACCCACATTATAACAGTCCAACTCGATAACCCCGATCTATTTTTTTTCGAAAAAGGGCAAAAGTTTTAAAGTGGTGTCCGTCTTCTATGCAATGATCGAAAAAACCTATGGTTCACTCATTCTAAAATATTAGATTTCCAGAATTAAGATTCAATATTTATTTTAATTTATTATTACGAGTACTATTAGTTAACATATTATACCTTTTGTAAATTTATCATCAAATATATATATTTGAAAATAAATTACCCATACAACCAATTTAATATAATAAATTTCTAATCAATAGAATCTGATTTTTGTAACTTTTATACCTACACATAATTTTCAGATTGCACGTTATCTGCAAATTACACTATATACATTACATTATTTAGTCTGACATTTATATTTGCACTAATTCCAATTCTCATGATTATGAGAGGATAAATTAAAATACAAAAAGTTTTAAAATATGGCTTCACTGAAAAAATCAACTCTAAAATTGCTATCAAAAATATGCTACTAAATGTTGTTATTGCTAGTATACATATATATTGTTATAGCTATATCAATACTCTATTTACAATAAACATTAAAAAATATTCTAATATATACTATATATTGTAATTTTTTTTTTCGTTTTTAAGACTGGAAATTAACAAAACTTTGTCTCATGCTTCGTAGGATACAGTTGGTTTCATTATTTTTCGTTAAAATATAAGTTTTTAGTATTCAATATATTTTACTACTGTTTTGTTATTATTTTAAACCATTAATCATATAAAATGTACACACTGCATACAATATTATATAACAAAAGGTTTTTTTTACAATACAGGTGTAGACGATTTTTTTTTATATTTTTATTTTACAGATATACTTGATTTATATTAAATTATCTCTCATATATTATTATAAAATCTAAAAACGAAATTCGAATTCAACATTTCCCGCTAAAAAGCTAACCTCTGTCATGGCGTCGATGTAACGTCACAGTCCTCTGAAACTAACATAAAAAATAACAACAAAAATACGACATTCAATGTCTAACTCTAATTTATGACATCTTCCTTAGAGGACTGTGATGTCACGCGCTGTTTTGCAGAATAAAAAATGTTTTTTTATAATTAATTTAAATAATATTTTAAATAAAATAAGCATGGTAGTGTGATTATCGGTAATAGTATATTACCAGAAAAAACAAAAAAAAAATTTACGTCTACTGTCCACTCCCGTAATCAACTGAACTTACCTAATCAACATTTTCACGCTTAAAATCAATGATGTGAAGGTTGGCTTACAAAATTAACGATCAATAATATTCGGTCACATTATGTTTGATCAAATCAATATATAAAGGACGTCAAATTGCTTACTAGTACATAAACATATTTAAACTTTAATAATAATGTCCTGCTTGCGTAATTGACGTTGCAAAGCTGGAAATACTAAGTGAATATAAAATCTAACATTACTGAAAGGCAGGAAGACCAAACAATTCAGGTCGAAATTTAGCTAGGGTGGGTAATACGATTGTGGCGTGCGTTGTGAGCTTCTTATCTAAATGTGGATCAGGTACCATGACTACTTGCATGCCTGCAGATATGCCTGCAGTAACACCATGCGGAGAATCTTCAAATACAAGGCACTAGAAAATATTATACACAAATTAGCATGTTTCATATGGAATAGTTCTTAAAATAGATTATGAGAACAAGACGTAAAAAAAGTTTTATCCTTTATTTACTTATTTTTTCACTTTTCTGCAGACACTTTAATTGGTCCATTGTGCGTATTGGGGCCTGGGGTTTTACAATGTTAACAAGATGAGAGGACAACAAACTACTAAATTTCTTATTAATTGCTCTTAAATGGACCCTAACTACTATAATAATTTATGCTAAAATTTTAATTTAAATATTAATCCAAATTCATGTTACACAGAGAATAAGCGTACCTATTACCTTCTAGAAGTAAATATTACTCCAGTAGAACCTTATACTAGTTTCACTTTTGCTAAGTCTCTGTTTAATAATATGAATTTTGACTAATACTGAGTGCAGTCTCAGCATAAATTTACTCCAATGTTAAAGCTTGTTTATTAATAACATTACAAGGCACTGTTTTTTTTATTTGGGGTGTAACTTACTGTTATTCTTTGAGTTAAAACATCTTATTATAAAACAAGTTCTTATGTTAGGACATGATTTAAACCATTGACTGGTACTAAAGTCAGTTCTCATTTTATAATAAGATGGATAGAGTCTGAACCAATAACAATCAAATATAGCTTTTGACTATATCCAAAATTACCTTAGATGGGTGTGGTTTGTCCTTAAACCGGGAAGCTGCTACCAAAAATATGTCTGGATGAGGTTTTCCATATTTGACTTCCTTGTCTGTGCTGCCCATGACCATATGATGGAAATATGAAAATAACTCTTTATAAGCAGCTAATTTTGTATGCACAGACCTCTCACTAGACGATGTGGCTAGTGCAAATGGCACCTTAGTTTTGTGTAGATGACGGATAAGTCTTTCAGCCCCTGAAATTAGACATTTTATTTAGTAGTTAGGAAAGTTTAAATTTGCTTTATATAAACAAAAAAGAAGAACTTCCCTTCTTATGATTAATTATTTAATAAGCTTTGTGAACATAATAAGCAAGATATAAATATATAAGTAGGTCCACTCGAGATCCGAGCGAGAGTTAATAGCCGAAACATGTAGGGCTGTCGCTTATAGGTTTTCGATTATCAGAAATTCATGATCAATCAATCTCTAAATATAATTTCCCCCGGTATAGTAAGCATCCGGAAACTATAATGAAACTTTTAAATGATTTTTTTTTTAAATATATAGACCAGACTACAATTCCTTTCATACCTACGTCATATTAGCAATTTAGAGTTTTGAAAAATGAAAACGTGGTTTTAATGAATTATGTATTTATTATTTTTTTCCAAATAATCAGGCTACCAACAAAATAAGAAAATGCCGATCTTAATTTTTAATAAACATGTGCTTTGTACAAACTGTTTCAATCAATGGCCCAAATTTTTTTTAATACAGTGTCTAATACTTAAATATACAATTCAATATCTATTTCAATTTGGCGGTATTCAGGCATAGAGATTTAATAAATTAAACTACAAATTGATATCTGGTAAACGAAATCTTGAGTAAAAATAATTCATAAACACTTTCGATAGGTAAATAAATACACAAAATTATAATTACTTAAGATATTATAAAAAAATACCCGAATACCTAAAGAACGAAATACCAAATACTTGATTTATAAAAATGTGAAATACCATATACTCGTTTTATAAATGCATATTCAATATTTTAATACAGCAACAAGGAACATATGCAAGCACGGCGTACTAGCAACGACTGGCGAATTGCCACTTGTGCCTTGAACTCCTATAACTTCGATAATTTTGTAAGTGTGTGCATGCGATTACGCATACGCAATACTTTGTATTAAAATAACAAAAATGCTATTGAAACTTTGTTTATTGAAACCTTTATCATGGTGACATAAAATTACAATAATGACTATGGTAATTAAATTTCTTTCTTATGGATGTTCTATGATTAAGTCAGTCTAGCTTGCTATATAATTGTGTTGCAGACTAGACTTTTTTGTGTTAATCATGTCAAAATGTGTATTCAATCCTGTAAATAACTAATTATATTATTTGATAGACAAGTCAATTATATTTCTTTTTTTTTAATAATGTTGAAACAAACTCAAATAAAAATCCTATTGCCCATCAATAGTTTTTCTATTATCACTTCTTCCGCTCTGGTTGTCACTTGTATTTTGAGCATTTTGTTTAGGTACCTTTTTTTTGATACTTGACTTTTATGACTGTTGTTCTACTGTTGTATGTTTTCAATTGTTATTTGTCGTATGCACTCTCCGCTATTTAATGTTTTGTATTTTCCATCTGATGCAAGGTTGCCTAGAAGAAATCGCTGGCTAGCGATAAGGCCGCCTTTTTATGTTCTTATGTAAATATGTATGTGTGTCTGTATCATTTTCTATTTTTAGTGCAAAAAAGAGTATTCATTATTATTATTAGGAATTCAATTTTCCTAATAGGTACACTGCTAACACCAACCACTGGTCTAAAGAATTCTAAAAATACTCTTACAATACTTACCATCTAGCAATGGTGCTCCAGCCAACATGGTGTCTCCAAGAACAAGAAGTTGGTCTCTAAACTCTGTAGGAGTCACAGGAAGCTTTAGTTCATTGCATAAAATTTCTGATAGACGTTGTTCTGTACCTCCCAAAACTTTCATCATTAGTTCATCTGTATACTTGTGCCCATATTGAGCACACAGTTGTGTTACCATCTTCTTATAAACTAACTCAGTATCTAAAAAGCAAAAATATAGATGTTTGAGTTTTAAAATGAAGTTTATATCTATATATCTTTAAACTTTACAAACTACAGTAATTAAGCTAACACTAATTAAAGTAGGCAATTAATAAAAAACATGAATACCTTTCTTAACAGAATGTTTAATTAATTTTTAATACAGAAATATATTTAGTCTATCCATGTGTGAGTGATGTAATCTTTTTTAAGTAATATTCTGATAAATTTATGCAAGTCTCTTAATATTATCAATCCATTTCAGGATTTTCATGAAAATTAATGCTTATTTAGTTGCATCATATAAAAGATGCTTTAAATAAAAGAACTACCACTTGAGTATCCATATATATATTTTTTATTCATAATAAAAATAACAAAGGTAAATCAAAAAAGGTTTTACTTCTACTTGTCCTTAAGAAACTTAAATATGGAAGCCTTAAAACAGAAGAAAATATAAAGAATTTATCAAATTGTCTTTTTTTTCATGTATGTATTTAACTACAGTATATTGGCTCAGATGTTTAAATATTATGTAAGTTCAAGTAGTATGTAACCTTGCCACTTATTAACACAATAATACAGAAAATCTAAATAAATTCCTTACCTAGAAGTAATCCGTCCAGATCGAATATGCAATGTGTTACTTTTTTGTAGTTAGTGGTTGATAAAAATCTTCTACTTAAAGTGGTTGACACAGTTTTCAATAAACAAATCTTCATGATTATACCGCCTTGGAGGTTCGATAGATTGCTGATCAAAAGGTCTTATGAAGATATGAATCTCTGTTTTTAGACAGAATTTGTTTTTATTCAGTTATCATAAAATTTATGAGATTGTAAATAAAAGAAAAAACACAAACTTAGTTTCAAATTCGGGGACGAGATCGGGACGAGCGAGACGTCCAATCAAACGTCAAGCCAAAGTTAAGTCATTGGGATGCATGTGAATGTATTAGACAACACATAAATATCGGTATGTAGCGGAAAAACAGAAGTTAAATAGTTCCTTAATCTAATCTAGCGACAATAATCCCATATATATTTATCTCCTTTCTTTCAAGTCTTCAAAACATATTTTACAAATTAGTGTAATAAAATTTATTTTTTAAATATTTATACCTTTAATGTAGTTTATATTTTCCGAACATACAGAAGCCTATATTTTCAATAGTAGGACACAACTCTATTCCAAAGCATGGTTTTGTTTACGGATCTAAATAATATATTTTTCATATTGACGCTCACGTCATGTCGACTTCAATATACCGACACAATCTCAATTGTGTCGGCAACTATAGCCTAATTATTTTTTCAAACTTTCTACTAAATTTCGTTCATTGTCTTAAATATTTCCGTTTAAATAAGAATAACCTAACCTAATAAAAGTGTCTCACATCACTTCAAATGTGACAACTGCATATTATAAGTAATATAATAGAAAATGATCTTTGTATATTGCAGATGATTGTTTTTTAAATTGAGAGATGTATTTTTTTTTATGTTACCGTCGTCGTCTAGGGATACTTTAAATCACAATTAATCATCCTAGTAATTTTATCTCAATAAAAAGTTTCATCTCAATCAAAATTTGATCTTCCTTTGAATTTAATATAATTTTGGTAAATAAAACAATATCCAATAAGTTTGTTTATTTTTACAAGCGTTTTTCGAGAGAGACAATTATTTAACTAGTGATTTACCTGAACCGCGATCATTCAGTGATATAATAAGTATTTATTTTCCACAACGCATTAGGTTAGAGCTAAATTCACTCATATGTTAATCACATAATGTTGTTGTTTGGGTGACTCGCTTTATAAAAGCCGCGATCACCAAGAAGCGACGACCACAGTTCGCAGCAATATGTAGACATCTGTAAAAGATAAACACCCTACATTGACGGTCACGTGATGCAATTTTAATAACCATATAAAATGTAATACATAATCTCTATATTATGCATTATATTTAATAATATGGATGCATAACAATGCAATCTGTTATGCGTATCCGTGCGCGAATATAACAACAGCAGGATATCAGTATACGTGGCATGAAATAGGTATATGTTCGTATGTTTTGCATAGTTTGACTTTTGGAGTGATCAAATGACCAAGCCAAAATTGTGCTTTTGATTTTGCATAAGAGTAAATTTAGAGCGTTGTGAAAATAACTAGTAATTAAAAATAGGCAGTTTTGATATCGGTGATAGGCGATCCGATAGCGGATTCGTTAAGTGATTTAAAAAACTGATACTGACTTCTCGCTTATCAAAACCTACGAGACGCATTAAAGATACAAGAATAACATCAATCTTTAAAACAGGACAAAAGTGTTCTACTTGTATATATAAAAATTCGATATTTTGGAAATCTGTCTGTAGGTATAGAAAGGCGCATCTGATGGTGCACAATAACTTAGTTTCAGCCTATCAAAATAATTTAAGTATCACCAACATCTATGGCCATCTAATTCGTGGCTACTCACATATGACATCTGTGATATTTGTAAATGGCTAGATAGTATTACTCGTCACATTCATGTGACCATTCTTGAAACATAGCAGAGAAGCAGGGTTTATATCACAATCTATTTAAAGTGAAAATGAAATATGTTATCATATTTGGAGCAATTACCTCCAGATATACCTTCTGAACGCCTTTTTTTTAAAGCAAATTAATGTTAAAATAATAGTTAAATTAATTTTATTTACATTCAATCTTTTGTATTTACTTAAGACCTAAAAATATCGATATATATGCGATACCTCACGTCATATCACGGGAACCGATATATATCAATATCGTTATATAAAAAATAAACGCATCCCTAGTTGAGCACGCCAAGAGACCAAAGTCTAACTTCAGTGTTGCTAACACAAAATTCAGAAATAAAATGAGGAATTAGTTAAGAAATGCTGTTGTAAGTTCTGTAAATTGCTAATGTGTTGGAACCTTGTCTAAATAACACCCGCATGACATAATCAAAAGTATAGATAGTAAAAGTATAGATGTTTTGGCCGAAAATTGCAATAATATGTCGGTGTTCATTTAAATTACAATGGTAATGCTAGAACTTCGACGAATACCTACATAATAAATAATACACAATTTCTGTAAACCCCTTATTTAGTTTTTTTTAAACTTCTGGTCTGGTTTGGGAGAAAGTCGTAAAGCGTATAGCAACACTGCGCACAACACGCAGCAAGTAAAGTAGCGCAGCGCAGTTGAACTGCGACCGTGATGGATCGCAGTTGAGTGTTCGTCGCGGCTTCACATGTGGCGTGTTAACTACCGCACAATTTAGTATACATTTAAATTAATTATCGAATTAACCTTATTTATGAAGAGTTAAAGTATAAGTGACTAAATTTATTTTCAAAGGAAAATAACATCCGTGAACATGGCTGTGAAAGAGTGTTATTGTGGTAAACTGTCGCCTAACAAAAAATCGATTTTAGGTTTGAGACTGCGGAACCAAATATTGTATTTATTGTTCATCGTGAGTTTTGTACATGTGACTGGAGCTGAATACGAAATGACATGTTCGAAGGCCAAGAGTATTTTTGAAAAAAACAAATTGCTATCTACGGTGGTTATATTGGAACAACCTAATTCAGGTGAGCGAACGATTACTTTCTTTAGTACTATACGGCTGAACGTGATAATGATGTGATAATAATGAATGATATGCGATAAATTTTATCACATATCTTTCTTTATACGAGTGTTTGTGTTATGGTTTACAGGAAATTGACCTAAGCCAGCTAAAAATATATATCCGATAATCTAACGAGAAAAAAAAATACTTAGTTACCTATAACATAATAATTCGAAAATCATTATGTATCCACAACAAAAAGAATGCTTCATTCTATTTGGTTTGATAGGTATGAAGCGCCGGCGCCGGCTTATAATGTATTTAAATTATGTGTATCTAATATCATTTATATTGTAATTTGGCTGGATATTATATTATTGTAAGTAAATTATCGTCTTTAAACGATTTTTTGTAGATTCGCAAAATATTATCCTTCTAACCAGCGTTTCTCCAAGTACACCACTGCATGCCAGGGTACCACAATATATCAAATTTCTCCAAGTGATTTTATACTCTACTTTTAACATTTTAAGGTTTAAAATCAAGTGGAGAAATATGACATAATAGAAATATGCACCGCGAAGCACGTTGGGGTCCTCCAAAGTATTGGTCATATTTCGGCATATGATCGGAGATGAACCTAGAACTAGGTTTGTTTTATTTAAGGGTAACGTGTAAAAATGTTTGAGACCCGCCGCTCTAATATCTAAAATACAGAAATAATTTTATATCATCCTTACTAGCTTTCCGCTAACGACTTCATCCGTGTATCTAGTTCCTTCCTCTTCAATGACTGCATATTGATGAAACCCGCATTCAAATCCGTTATATTGTTTAAAGATCTCAACGTACAGATAGCGGAAAGCGACTCTATATTATACTATGTATAGGTAGATGTAGATACATGCTTTCTGTTGTATCTATATCAAGTTTAGGTAAATACCTAAGCACCATTATTAGTTGTATTCTTAACTTATCCAAGCCCCCTCTTTCAAAATTAATCAGTGATCGAGCTAAGTAGCTCACTCGCCGCGCCACACGCGTTTTTAGTTCTCGGCTTAAAATTGTTATTTTTTACTTTATATTAAGGTTCGTTATATCCTTAATAACGAGACGGTGTTGAGAAGCTAAACGTTTTAGCTTTGTATAAGATTTATTAATGACTCAAAAGTATTATAATAATAAAATTACACGAGTAAGCATTGCTCAATATTGGCACACATGCGTTCTACTGTATAAAAAGTAGCGAGTTGTATTTATATCAAATTTCCTTAAGTTGTGATATCTACTACATACCTATTCCCTGAAAAATTACAGAGTGTATCTGCGGAAGAAAAAAAAAGGTTATGTATCATTGGTTATGTTAAGAAGTTTATTATTGTTTTCGATTGCCAGCTTAGCTATAGCTTTAAGATTTTGTGATTAATAAACTTATAATCTCTAACTGATTCACAAGCCGATTTTAAGGTGTCGCCATTTCTGAGGTCCCGGGTTCGATTCTCAGTTGGATATTAATAGAAAAGCTATTTTGTATATTCTCTTATTTTGGGTAATATGGACACTTAGAAAATTTAGGTGTATGGCTTAAACGCAGCTAATGAGCTACCTCCAAATCTCTCGAAAAATTGTGTCGGTTCATGGACCAAACACCCTGTATTTATAAGGTAATAGAATAAATGGAAGCACGCATTCGTGTATAGAAGGTTGGAGAAGATTATCGATCTTGTAATGACATGCTTTTTGTGCATGTCGTTTACTCTATTAGAGCTGGTGAGTTTCTTGTTCGTTCTTCTTATCAGCCAAAAGTTTATTTTTATAAACATATTTATAATTTGACTTTGAAGAAAGTAAAAGCGTTGTGTATATTGCCCAGTTGGTTAACCAGAAGCTGGTGCAATGCCACATGTGTATTTCTTTCTTAATTTTATTTAAAAGCTTACAAGTCTCTTTCCGAACAACTGTAACGATGACTTAACAAAACTTGCAATGCCCACTGTATCGACTCAATAATAAAGATAAAACTTACCTACTTTACAAGACAACGTCGATAATAAGTACACTATCGACAGCCATTATAAAAATCGTAGGCGTAGTTCATCAGTAGGCGGGATTTTGAAATGCAAACCGTATTTACCACTTGCGACATAAGTATAGGTACAAAGACAAATTCATAGTAAAGTTTCGGTTATCTTAATAATTAAAAAGCACCTCTACTTATTATAGAACAAAGTTCAAATTGAAACTGTGTGGATACATTCAATGTTATATGTTTAAGTAAAAATCATGAGTAGCAGGCAGTTAATAGCATTACAAGAAAGCGTGGGTGTGATTTCCAACGCACAGATGGCTAAACATGACATGTATCCGTAAATTTAATAAAACAACATTTAAAATTGCATATATGAAAACCTAAAGCATCCATTTTTACTGTGAAATCGAAATGTTGGTTAATTTCGGTAAATTTGTATTTTAATCAAGTCAAACTGCTCTTCCTAACAAACGTTTACCTGTCTTTTTAATCGAACCCATGGAAAAAGTGCATAATATAGAAGAAAACTTTTTTTTTTCTTGACCACGATTAAAGCTTTTTGAGTAGCTTTAATCGTTATCAAGCAGTTATCGGGGAGCATCCCAATGTAATTTATCTCATTTTACGTAAGCGGAAACGAAATACCTATGCTAAAAGTATTGCCAAAGTGTGGAATGAAATAAAACATTCGGTTAGGTTTGAAGTTTTAACATCACCCGAGAACTGAGAATGTTTTACAATGTAGTTCAAAGTACGCGGAAGCGATTGCTCACTCGGAATCATATTCTCAGCAGAGCTATAAAAAGTTCACTTAGATAGCTGGAATTTACTTAGTTAGTTCTGCCAAGTCCCTAGAGAACATTGTTTGAATTAATGAGTATCTCGTTCAATTTGTGAAGGTGTTCTGTGATAGACTTTGGAAACGAACCTACATCATTCCGCAGCAAACTGATACATTATTAATGAACCACCACTCCCAGTTGCTTGTACTTTCACAGAGCCACTAACCACATAATAACATTGATTACTTCGAGCTCTTGTGCAAATTGTTGTGTATATCTTAAAGTTACTAGGTCTGAGTAAACTTATTAATATTCAATTTTACCGCCACTTATACAATTTATATGCAAACGTGCTCTTATTTTATTCGTCGCCAAAGGTAATTAAGTGGAAGCGGCGAGATCAGGTTGATACCAGTTCGCTATTAAGATAAAGCCATCGATTTAAATATAGTCGACGTCTGGTTTCCTAATATGGTATAGTATGTTACTGCACCGATGGCGCAGGCGTCTCGGCTCACTCGTACTGACTACGAATAATTCGCAACTGGTTAATATTCGATACTCGTTCCCCGGCACTTCTAACGGGCGGCTTGTCGCGACAACTACCGGCTTTTGTACATTTGTAGACTTCTAATTTAGCTACGATCCGCGAACTGAGTACCGGAAAGTTATACAAACATTTTAACTAAATTACTAAAGCTTTCTTATGAAAAATCACCTACGTACTTTATTATCTACTAAAATGTTTAAAGCCTATAGTATGAAGGTCAGTCGCCTCCGATTTCTTTACACAAGCTTTCCCTAAAGAATGTCAGGAGTGGATATCGTTATCACTGGATGGAGTATCCTGTTTGGGTATATTTTGTATTAACCTATCTATCATAGCTGTCACAGGAGTTAGATAAACGTTATTCGGTGCCCGAACCAACGTTAGAGCCAGTTGGAACGATCCTGTCATCGAATATAATAGAATTGATCGATTCCAAGCCGCTTTTATTATATTTTATTACATATATAAGAAGAAACTGACTGATATATCAAAGCACAGGTCACGGTCTGGTACAAGAAAGTAGAATTTCCTTGTCATTAAAAACTATGTTCTATTTATTCCTGATCATAAACGTGTATTTGCTATGAACAAGTCTTCATAGTAATGTATTTTTACCTGTTAATATTTAACAACAGCTCGATAATTTTCTACAAAAAAAATTACCAATACCAACGATCGGGTTTGACATACAAATGTACGGGTAGTGGGTGGACTGGTTAAAGGTCTACGGTGTAGGTCGTCAACCTGACTCAACTTTCTTGATTACATTCCACGTGGTCATTTAATTACCAGTAAGTACATAATTTGGTCTAACCCGTTGAAGTTGTTCATTGTGTTTTGTTTTTACTGAACGCTTTTTTATTTTTTTATGTAAAGGTAATTCGGTGTCTTTCTTGTTTTACAAAAAGACAAAAAGTATAAACCCTACAGCAAATTAGTGCATACCTGAGCACAAAACGCCATTACGTTCGGCTTTATTCGAGCTTTCACAGTAAAACCCTTTCAATCAACTTAACTCAATGGCGCTCCATCAGTCACAAGGTACGGTCCCTTTATTACGTCGCGTCCATAACCTCTCATCCTGTAATTAGGCTTGAGATCCAAAGTAGACCGGATGTCGTATTGTCATTTTTTTGCTAAACATTCTGCAGCATTCGCAGTTTATATTCGAATGAGTCATATTTTGAACTAAGCTCTAAGGGATGTACGGATATGTCGTAAACAATATGTATATTAGTTTTAAAATATTGGTCGTTAAATTTAGTTTATGAACACATAAACTAAATATCGAGGTTGGATATGACGTAAACGCTCATCGTAGTATTATAGCTGTTATGCCCACACTGCGTTCACGTGAAATAGCAATGAAAACATACCTTATACTATCAATTTATGCAAAATACTCTTAGATTGAGTTCAGAGAAACGAATATTCTTCCTTTCCTTTGGGAAGTTGGAATCTTGCAATTACTTTCAAGTGTCAACCTGAAAATTTCACGACGGCCAAAATAGCTTGAATTCGCTGTAAAATTTCATCAGAGAACTCTGTAATTACAACTTTCACCTTGGAATTCAGACAAGAGAATTTGGTTCTTAATATTTTTTTGTCGTAGAAAATCCTTTGTGCAAACTTAAGTCCTACAAAAGCCCACTTAGATG